GGTTACTCCAGTGCCACAGGGGGCCCACTGGCTAATCCGAAAGCAGGTACGCCGAGTTGATCAGACTCGGTATCCCATGACTGTGGTAGCTTCGTTGAGTGCGGTCCCACAGTCATGCCGCACTCCCCTGCTTCAGCACGAAACAAGTAGCAACAAGTCCTAAATCCTTAGAGACAGGAGTTTCACTCACACACACACACACACTCTCTTGCAAACACAGAGAGACAAACAGGCCAGCAGGCGAGGCAGGCAGGCGAGGCAGACGGACAAACGGACACACACACACACAGACACACAGACACAGAGACAGCAAACACGTCACACAAAGAAACAACCAAAACCACAACCACAACAAGCAAGCCAAAACAAAAAACAAGCGTTCAACATCAATGGTGTACTGCACATGGTAACCTGAACCACCTGCCGACCCTAAAAGAACTGTTCAACTATACCTTAAAATTATTTTTCAGCCGGGTTGCCGCACCATTCGCAGCAAGTAGAAGTTGGTGTTAACCGGGCTGCCAAAAGGCAGTGCGCTTCTGATGTAATACCTGTCACCGGCAGGGTTGGAAGCCAGCATCATGAACCAGGCTTGGAGCCTGCGTGAATTCTCATGTTTTGGTACAGGAAAGCTCTCAAACACACTCAGGAGCACTCAAACACACTCAAGAGCACGAAAGACGTGCTTCCAAAAGTCTCACTGCAGAGTCACATCCAGCCACACTACCACCGAGGGGCTGCAGTTCTGAGATGCCAGTGACATCAGATATCGATAGGTTCGCCGGAATGAAGTCGCAAATGTCCTGAAGCTCGTGCTTGCCTCTCTTTTGAAGCCCACGCTTCCGAGACCACGAGGCATGCTTGGCAGCATGTTTATCGAGACAGCTCACACCACAAATCTCCGAAGTAAGGCCATGCTTCTTAGACCACATACAGATGTTGAACATACTTCGTGCATGATCTTCTCGGTTGCAGCAGCTTGAATGAAGCTTGCAAGCAATCGGGTTTCCTTCAATAGCACTCAGTTGCACAAGAAGAACGGCTGCTTGATCCTCGCCTCCAGCACCGCGAATGCTGCAGTCACTGAAGGCAAATCGAGGGCGCGGGGGCGTTCCCCTGCATGCGTCTTGGGATCAGCTTGCACTAACAAGACTTCAAGGCTGCATAGTATAGTTGGACCCTTCCTTCTCGTACAGAGTTCTTGTTGATGCCTGAAGAGGATACAAGTAGATACTATTTGGCATGCTTCGGTATCCATCGAGACGACCAATCGAGAATGGAGAATCAGAAGCTTCGATTCTCTTGCTGGGCTGTGCAGTTCCTCTAAAGTTCTACTGCCATCGCTGCCGCGACCTGCCTGCGCTCTCCTGCATGGCTTACATTCAACTTCCGTCTCCGGGAAAGCGGGAAAGTTTAGGTCATGGGACACAGACTTCCGGCCCGATAGAAAGGGAAGTGCTGGTAGTGCTGCGAACTCGACCCTTGACTCGCGGCCGAATCTGTTCCGCCTAGACAAGGGCCCATGGGCCAAACAAGCTTCACGGGCATCCTGTTTCTGCAGAAGTTGCACATTCTGCCCATGCCTTCGCCAGCTTTTTCCTGCCCAAAATTCAGACTTGCAGTGCGAGATGCCGAAGGTTTGAGGAGTCGAGGTTTGGAACCTACTCTTCAACTGCTCTTTAGCCCTAGGCGTCGCGGCCACAAGTGATTCTGCTGCTAAACGAAGTGTGTGCATAAGGAGCAGCAAAGCCGCACAGTGCCACGCGCGAGCCTCTCTGTTAAGCACCCTGACAAACAAAGGAAGAAACTACATCAGCACGGTAACTTGCACGGCGCGTGGAGATCCAAGCAAATTTCGATTGAAGCAATCTCAACGGCACTAGGAGAACCGTGAACTCATATGATCCTCCCCGGAGCAACACGGAACAATTTCACGTCTCAGGGAAAAACCTCCTCAGTACCTCACCGCACTTCTCATTGTGTAGGAGTTGGAAGGCTTGAACAAGAGTCTTGGCCGGGAGGCTTCGCAAGACACAACGTGGCCGCGGCCTGATAGCTGCGATCCATGATAGCCACGGCTGTAACCAGGTAGTACCCTGACAAACTCAAGGGCGCAGGCTGGAGAGGGTCAGCCTACTTTCAGCCGTCTGTCAGTGCAAGCACTTCCACTGCATCCCAGCCTGCCTGGAGCCCCATCGTCAAGCAAACAACATGGGTTTTCCATCTGGTCTGCCCCTCGAAGACCCCGACAAGATGAGGCCTTGGACCCCCAGTTCATTCCAAGAAGCCTTTCTTGTGAAGGAACACCACCGGCCATATCTTTCCCTTCCTGGATCAGCTGTTTCTCCGTGGGCAGCATGTGGCTTTCACACAAGACAATGCAAAGATGCGCAGCAACAGAGCCGTTGCCGGCAGCATCACTGTCCGAAGTGCTGTGGAAGGATCGAGCATCCCAAGCCCCGTAACCCTGCCCACGGAAGGTATGTGTCTCATGCCCTTATTTGCGCCGCATGGGGTGTCATGCAGTGTCCACGACACTAAGAGCTTTCTGCACTCCGGTTTTCTGCTGCCTATGCCTGGCTGGTATGAACCGACATGTCAACTCAGGCCCAACTCAGCCACCAGCTCGGACTTGGCAGTCGCCCAGCACAACTTGATAACCAAAGCTATGTGGGATCGGGTTTTTCAGGCGTGCGTGATGTTTCCCTGTTTTTGTCCAAAGCACCGCTTCAGGTGCAGCCGTGGAGCATTAGTGCTGTCATCGGACCCAGTGGCCAGAGCTTTTCCATCCGTGACTCCTCCGGAGATTCGGGCACTTCACTGCGCCTGCCTAATATCTCTGACGTGGTATGTGACTCAAGTGAAACCTCGCGCTGGAGTCCCAGCCGCCTTGATGTGTGACGACCTGGAGTGAAACTTGACACGTAGCCGCCGCAGCCGCGAGCATGAGCTCTTGCATGTCTCCGTGCTACACGTCGCTGAAGCAGCTACTGCTATCACGACCGAAAATGCTTGATGATGCTTGATGACAGCCTTGCGGCCTTGCTAGTCATGAGGATTCATCGAAAAGCCCTTATCGAAGTCAAGTCGTCAGAAATACATGAGACAGAGGCAAGATGTCAACGGAAGCTTAGGTGGAATCTCTCCGTCCTCCGCTGGATCCCAGCTGAAGGAGCCCTGATGGAAGTCCTCAGATTTTCAGGGCTCTGCTGTTTTCGGAACCCGGGCTTTACGAGGGAATCCGATGAGCAGACAGCGTGGCTCAAGTCCATAGACCTGACTCTCGGAGCAGGGCATAACAGATTCCAGACTCTGAGCGCGCAAATAGCAGTCGAAGGCTTTCCCTCCCGAATCCTCGTGGAAGGGTGCCGGCAGATCTGCGGGAAGGCTGTGGTCTTCCTCCTCCTCCAGAACCTGGCAAGAGCTACAGGGTGCTTGTGGGAAGCGACCTGAACATTACGAGATGCAAGGCCCAGTGGTGAGGGTCATCTTGCCTTGCTGGAGGTTGCTACTAACGCAAAACTTCGAGCAGTCGGCGTCTTGGCGACCGGTCTGCTCACATCTCCACCACTTGACCTCCGAGGTTCCTGCTCCCGGAACCCAACATGACTGTACTTTCTCCCGGATCCTAAGAACCAGCTGCATGCCTCTGATACGAAGAGGTGGCTGATGTCTTCGTCACAGGGAAGCGGCACGTGGTTGCAGCCTGTCCGGAATTGGGGCAAGCCCCTCCTAGTCCTCCATACTGGGACCTTCTGACAACCAAAGACGGATCTGGATTCCGAGCATGCCTTAAGCCTTGAGCCCACAGCTTGCAAAGGCGAGATAACTTCCCTATCCGCGCCGAGCTCCTACTTGGGAGCCTAAACATATCAGAGAGCTAGTTTGCGAATGGCCGAAAAGGGACCTGCCACCTCTTCCGGATCATAGGAGCCCTCTCCTCAGCAAAAAGAACAGAAAGCCCGATCCACAGCTCGAGCCTTGTAGGCGCTGGAGCTTGCTCTCCTTGTGCGTCGGATTCCCATGTAGAATGAGCTCTTCACGCAAGCAGCACCCTGTGTGAGCAGGCAAGGCACCACCGTGGGAAAGCGGCGGCTCGTGAGAAGCCGAACCTGCAAGGCATCTGCTCAGCTGGTTTGCTCCGCTTTGTCATCCCACGCAGACTGCCAACTGAAAGGCCTCTGACTCCTTGTGGAAGACCCAAAGGGCTCGCAGCTGGCAGGCCATGGCAGGTGGCTCTGGCACCAAGCATCGAGACTCACAGCTGGGGCAAGCGGTCAGGTTGAATTTGTGCACGGGTTGTGGCCGGGGGCCGCTTACCACGTGGACGGGGGTTGTTGTTCCACCAGTTATCGGTCTGCAGGCCCAAGGGCTGAGCGGCTGAGCTGAGAGTTTGGGCTTAACGTGGCTTGACTCTATGTTCCAGCGTTTGCTTGAGATGTCATGCCGGCCGATCACCCAGATCTGATCAGAGTGGGAGTGACAGGGCTGGCGATTGAATCTCTCGAGTCCCAGAATACCCTCTTCCTGAACAGCCCGTGTTTGTGCAGGCTGCCATCAGGTTGAACCGGCCCAAGCCTTTATGGACCGAACCGGTCAGCCACCTGCCCAACACTCGAAAACTCGGAGGTCGGACGAGCCCAGAAGTTCCGCATGTTCAACGCCTTCCTAAGACTCCCTGAACCTGATCTATCACGGTCAGCTCGAAATAGCAAAAATTCATCAGATCAGATCCTCAATGTTTTGCAATCTCAGTGTGTCAAGTCTAGCGGCAAATGATCTTCGAGCTCAATCTGCGTCGCCGAATCGAAAGACTGGTCAATGGCTGCTTAGTAGGAGGTAACAGGTACGTTTCAGTGTTGGCCAACTGTTAAGGTAAACTTCAAACAGGAAGAGTTTGACCAGCAGACTAGCAATGGCGGCACTGCTCTGGCAAGAGACCAGTGCAAGTTAAAGAAAAAACGAGCCGACTAACCGCAACCCGAACCAAGAGTCATCTGCAGCAGCTACTAGCATAGCGTAAGACTACGTTGCAAGTCGCCTTTCAAGAGCGATGTTTTAGGCCTGCAAGAACTGGAATGCTCCTACATCCTTGCAGCAAAAAAGCCACCACGAGGTGCATTCATGCAGCGGTACCCCAGCTTGCACGATCGAGCTCTCTGCATCGGGCATGTCTGGTGTGTTTGCTTAGAACCGTGAAGCCTCACTGCCCTCGTCTCGAAGCCGACTGCACTGGCAAGTCTACTGACGCCCTGGGTCTAGTCACGAATCACTCGTCCTAGCTGGCCTCGGATTCCTCTGTTGCCGAACCATCCCAGTCGGAATGATTGTCCGCCATGGCCCGCCGAACGTGTGGGTGGATGGATGCACACAGGACCCTGGAGGACGGCACTTGTATGCCGAAGGCTAAATGGGAACCTCTAAAAACTCCTAAGACCATTCCAGTTTTCAACAATTAGGGCCAGAGGTCTCTGACTCTGACGTCGATCCAGATAGGCTTGCTCCTCCGTTCTTTGGCATGCGAATCAAGTCCTCAGAAACAGATGGCTCCTTGAGGGTGAATCAGGATTGCACACACAGTTTCCAAACAACTCGGCGTAGTTCTTGTTGTCCCCAAAGACAGCAGGCGCGCGCCGACCAAAAAATTCTAGACTTAACAGGAAGTAGCATCAACAGGCAAACAGCAAGCGCTAAGCCCCTAAGAAGCCACCATAGCAGGACCCACGTGCAATCTGAGCTGCGGAGGCGTCAAAATGACGGTCCCTGTAGGACACGCATGTAGTTTCTGTGCCGTGGCTCAGTTCAAGAGACCACAATCCAAAATCAGCAAATCCTGAACCCTTGACGGGAATCGTAGGATGTGCCGGGGCTTGTGGATTGAGTTCGGAACAGACCGCAGAATTGCCCACAAACCCATCCCGGATCGCACCAACCGCTGCAAAGGACTTGGACACTCGGCCGAGCCTACGACACCCCTCATTAGCCGTAAGCCGTAAGTGGTCTTTGAGCCCTCTTCGCTGGCCTGACTCGCTTCTGCGGCGTCTCTGCTTCGTGCTGGCTCGTGGCGTTCTGGCGCGTGGGAGCTCGTGGCTGTGCTTCCGGCTTACACACGGGACTGCACTGCGGGAGTCGATGAGGGCTAGGCCTAAGCCCAGCCACGGGCGGTGGGGATCCCAAGCGCTGCAACAGGGCCGAGCCTGGCCTTGTCCTTCACACTGCGGCCTGACACCTGCCCAGGCCCAAACACGCGAACTGACA